TTGGTAAATCGACTATAAAAATGTATTGTTGGTATGATTACTATCAATATATATTTTTATACTTTTATAGTATTTTGTTTTTTTTGGGAGATTCACTATTTTCTCATAGCTGGGGCCATAACAGGTGCTACCCCCCCACCGGGTCACGGTGGACCTGGAAACTACTAATCTTTTTCTCGTCTGAGAGTACCCATTTTGGCTTACATCAGTATGGCTGATGCTAACCTCCAGGAAAGTGGCTTATTGACATTTCTTGGGCTAACATTTTCTGCTGACATAAAGTGGAAAATTTATATTGAATCAATAGCTATACCTACTGCTAGGAAAGTTGATTCACTGTGTCTACTTAATTTCCTCTGCTTTTACTGTTCTCTCTTATTAACAGCGTTATTCTTTTTCTCATATTCTCTCACACTCAGTAACCTCTTGCGTCTTAGTGGTATTAATGCCTTCTTTGGACCGAAAAGATTATATATATATATATATATATATATATATATATATACAAACTCACATCAATCCAACCAAATATGTTAGCTCTATCTCTGATATTGAGCGCTTTCTAATATGTACCATGCATATAATATATAAATAATTTTATATATACATACTTATATATATATATATATATATATATATATATATATATATATATATATATATTGATATTTATATACACACACTTTTCACATATATATATATGTGTGTGTGTGTGTGTACACGCACGCACACACACACACATATATATATATACACACACACACATATATATATATGTACACACACTATATATATATGTGTGTGTGTGTGTGTACACACACACACACACATATAAATACACGCACACACACACACACATATATATATATATTCTTGAAAGCTAGTTTCACAAAACTTCTTATACAAAAAGTGAAGCAAATAAAATCTACAACTAAAAAATTCATATCTTACTGCTTTTTTATATGCCGTGTCCTTTCAGTGCGTAGGCGATCATGGCCCTCCACTTCCTCCTATCCCTTGTAGCTCTCAGTAAGTTTTGTCCCTTTGCTACTTCCCCCAGGCCATGTTCTGTCATCCACTTGCTTAAGCCCACCAGGTATGTCATACGTTGCTTTCCCTTGTCTCTCTTTCCCTCTATCCGCCCTCTGAGTATCAAATTCTCCAAGCCCTCCTTTCTCATTGTGTCCCAGAAATTTCAGCTGCCTCTCCCTGATGTTAAGTATAAGCTTCTTCTTTGTTTGCATCTTCTCCAAAACATCGTTGCTGACACTCTCGGTCTATGATATCCTCAGTATCCTTCTGTAGAACCAAACCTCTGTTGCCTCGAGTCTCTTCTTCAACTTTAAGGAGACCGTCTAACATTCGCTGCCATAAAGGGGGACAGATATCACGTAACAGCTCAGTACTCTTTTCTTTGTTACCAAAGAAATCCTCCTGTCTCGTAATACTCTGCCTAGCTTTTGGAATGCGTCTTTGGCCATCCCAATACGTCTTCGGATCTCAGTGTCGCACTTACCGTCTTCTGTCAAAACACTTCCCAGATATTTAAATTTCTGCACCTGCTTGATTTTAGTGTCCCTGATCTTTAAATCACATTTCGGGTTCATCCTTTTACTGATGACCATACATTCTGTCTTTTGTTTATGCTTAGTCTCTTCTTATGGCTCTCGTTCGCTACATTCTGTAGGAGGTTTTGTAATTTCATTTCCGTGTCTCCTATCAGTAATGTGTCATCTACGTATTTTCTGTTAAGATTGTGGCCGTCAATCATGAATCCCGGTAGGATTTCTAATTCTCTCAAAATTGCCTCACTGTCTTTATTCCCGTACATCAAATTTCATTTTTCAGCAACACCGGTTATGTACAGAAATTTATTAATATAAATTAGTAGCATTAAATGGGAAACAAAAATTTAATTTAATTTGTTTATAATTTGTTACCAATGAATGGATGCGATAAAAAAAATGTAAATTGTTTAATGAAATTAATTTGTACATATTTCTCTTGTCCAAACATTTATAATGAGAAAAAAAAATGTAACACCACATCCATTCATCCCCGTGATGAGCGAAAGTATTTTACGTTAAAATCTTCCCTTGGGTTCATAAAAGTAAGCATACGAACATCGAGTTTTGACTGTGTAACAAACAGACAATCTCTTCCCAATGATTATATAGAGAGATCTGGGAGATGAGACATGGACTTTAAGAAGCAGAATCATAATAGCAGGCAATAAGATTTATGATAAAGGTCAACAAAATTAACATTGGCTTATACGGATATTTTGGCGAAAAACAGTCGTGATCGACCATGACGAATATTTTTGTAGGTTTCTATGAAAATAATTTGTTACCTGGTACCATGAAACCGTTAGTCTATTACCGTTATGTAGACGACATACGTTGCCGCTTTGATAACCCAATAGAGGCCAATATATTTTTCCTTACTTAACGATATACACCTAGCATTAAAATACATAATGGAAACAGAAACTAATTCCACTTTGTCGTTTTTAGATGTATTGGTAACAAAAACCTCTTTATATTACCTTACATCGATTTACCATAAACCAACGTTTACTGGTTATTATATTCGGTGTGATGCATTTTCCCCTAACAAGCGGAAAATTAATCTAATTGGGACTCTAAAATATAGAGCCCTTATGATTTGTTCAGAATCAAAATTAAATGAAGAAATAAAAAAAAAAGATCACTATACTTTAGTTGTGATTAGGTCAGTTATCAGTAAAAGAAAATGTCTGATTTTTCTGAAACTAAACCTAATATGGTTAATAACTGTCCAATTTATTTTCGTTTGCCTTGGTTGGGCAGAGTAAAAGAGAAATTTGCCAAACGAATTACCTCTGCAGTAGGGCATTTTGGTTTCTCTTCTAATGTACGTGTTGTAGTTTCTACTAAATATGTTTTGACGTCTACCCAAAAGGATGTTCTATCCCTTCCACAATGTTATTATCATTATTTATCTAGGGATATCACGCCATTTCTTACTTCTTTTTTCTTTCTATTTTTCTTTTACCACTGCCCAATTATTGCTAGTTCAGTTTCCACCGAACCCGAGTCTCTCCGCCTACGGTTAAATCAATCTGAGAAGACCAGTTCAGGTTCGTAAAGCAAAATTGGTTCGGTCGATCTTGTTTAGCGGCTTATGAGTTATTTAATGCCAATATCTAAACATTTTGTACGCAGTATACAAGGCTTACAAATTAACCCATAGAAGGGGGTGAACAGGTGGATTTATATCTTTCCCAAGGGTATTTGCGCGTAAGGGAATACAACAAACCCAACTGGAATTGGAACTTGTCTTGATTAAAAATTCTGAATCATTATCCATTGCACCACCGGCAAATCCAAGTTTACAGCACAAAGTATTCCCAAGCAGTCACCCATCTAGATACTGGCCAGACTCGATTTTGCTTAACTTCGCTGATCGTTCGGAAACCGGTGCTTCAACGTGATGTGGTTGAAAGCCACTGAAGTTAAGCAGCGGCGAGCTCGTTCAGTAACTAGATGGGGGATCGTTTCGGAACACCGGGTACTGTACTGTATGCTGCACCTTCTACAATCGGTAATATGTTTCGGCTTTAAATAACCTCAAAAGAGTTGATAAACCGTAAAAAACAAATCAATCAATCAAAAACTGACACATCAGGGATTGGAATCACGAACCGACGCTTTAATTCCAACTGACATAAAAAAATCAAAACATTTTTTTTCGTTTTTCCAATCGTTTTTATCTCTGATATTTTCTTGCTTAAGATTGCATTTATATTTTCTCTTAAAATAATACAACTCTGCTTTAAAACCAAGTGAGTATAACTGATAGCATTGAACTGGCACACGTGTACGTGTTTGTGCCTATGTAGTTGCAGTGCCGACTTCATAGACAGAACAACCCAACGTTTAGATGCTACAATACAGCATCATATCTTTAGAAAAATCAGGAATGAATATTCCAACTAAAGGACGTTCTGAACAACACATGTTTGACTATGTAACAAACAGACAAACTCTTCCCAATGATTATATATATAGATCTCCGAGATACGACGACATAAACTTCAGGAAGCAGAATCATAATCTTGTTAGTACTGATAATAAGATGGTTTGGTTTGGTTAGTTTTACGGCATATCAACCTCGATAGGTTATTTAATGCCGACAAGGTTTTCATTGCTGGTAATATTTTTTTCCAAAAACGTATTGCAGCTAATATTTTTTTCTTCAAAAATGTATTACTGGTAATACTTTTTTAAAAAATTATTACTGGTAATAATCTTTTACAAAAATGTATTACTGAACACCAGCAATGAAGAGGTGGTTCCACGCTCCTCAAAACCACCTGATCAGAGGCCTTGCTGCTGGATGTAGTTTATCGTCTTATCCAGCACGCAGATGTAGTTTATCGTCATACCCAGGACGGCTCACAATAAGATTTATGATAAAGAACAATAAAATTGACATTGGCTTATAGGAATATTTTGGCGAAAAACAATCGTGTCTAGACTTGCTTAAGAAAAGGTAAACAAATCAAATGTGATGTTTTTAAGTACTGGCAGTTAATAGCTCACACTTCTTTACATAGGCACAAACACGTACACGTGTATCAGTTCAATGCTATCAGTTATACTCAGTTGGTTTCAAAGCAGAGTTGTATTATTTTAAGAGAAAATATAAACGCAAGACAATATCAGATATAAAAACGATTGGAAAAACGAAAAAAAATGTTTTGATTTTTTTTTTCATGTCAGATGGAATTAAAGCGTCGATTTGTGTTTCCAATCCCTGATCTGGTTAGTATAGACTCAGTTTTTGATTGATTGATTGATTTGTTTTTTACGGTTTATCAACTCTTTTGAGGTTATTTAAAGCCGAAACATATTACCGATTGTAGAAGGTGTAGCATATAATACAGTACCCGGTGTTCCGAAACGATCCCCCATTTAGTTAATGAACGAGCTCACAGCTGCTTAACTTCGGTGGCTTTCGGCCACATCACGTTGAAGCACCGGTTTCCGAACGATTACCGAAGTTAAGTAACATCGAGTCTGGTCAGTACCTAGATGGGTGACTGCTTGGGAATACTTTGTGCTGTAAGCTTGGATTTGCCGGTGGTGCAATGAATAATGACATCAACATTTTTAATCAAGACAAGTTCTAATTCCAGTTGAGCTCGTTGTATTCACTTACGCGCTAATACCCTTGGGAAAGATATAAATCCACCTGTTCACCCCCTGCTATGGGTTAATTAGTAAGCCTTGTATCACTAAACTGTTATAATTTTCAAAAGTAAAATAAAATAATACTGCGTGCAAAATGTTTAGATATTGGCATTAAATAACTCATAAGCCGCTAAACAAGATCGACCAAACCAATTTTGCTTTACGAACGTGAACCGTTCTTCTCAGCGTGATTTGACCCTAGGCGGACAGACTCGGATTCGGTGGAAACTGAGCTAGCAATAATTGGGCAGTGGTAAAAGAAAAATAGAAAGAAAAAATTAAAAAACGGTGAGATATCCCTAGACAATGAGAGCCGAACTAGAACAATCCGTAAACACCGTAAATTAAATAAAGTGTTCATTTCGTTCTTTTCGGAATTACCTGAAGGTTACCCAGATCGACAGACAAATGGAGAAGGCCAGAGAGAACAACGATCGAAACTTTGTGATAATAACAACAAAGATGCGAATATTAGTACGGTTGTAAATAGTTTTAGTATTTTCAAGTAACTATGTTAAAAAGGATAGATTTTCATTATCATCTGGCAGTTATTTAATCTGGTGTTTAGTTTTATTTAACTTCGTTCAAAAGATGGCTTTTTGTTATCATCTGTCATTTAATTCATCTGGTGTTTAGTTTTATTTAACTTCGTTCAAAAAGATGGCATTTCATTATCATCTGGCATTTATTTCATCTGATGTTTAGTTGTAACTTCGTTCACAAAGATGGCTTATTTATTTTCACAAAGAAGTATAAAGAACTGCATAGTTTACGAAGAAGGTACTGTGAATGAGCAAATAGATCAAACATAGAGATTTCTCGCTGAATGACGTTTCACGATCAGAAAGAACATGTAAAATTGACAAATAGCAGCATTACTTGAGACAAATTAACGTTTTCTTTTATGCAGGAATATCGCGTACCCAATCAAGATATTCGAATTAAGTGTGGAAAATCATTTACAGCCAATTGGTTAAGTTATTCACATTGCTATGCCGTTTCAATATAAATTTAACATAGAAAGAAAAAATCTGATTGGATCATAAACTTTATTTTATTTTAAGCATGAGACAATACAAGGCTCAGATTACTAAACAAAAAAGCTAATTTAAGCATGAATTTCAACGCAATTCTCTAAGTTGCGTTAAAAAAGAAATTGGGACACCACTTGATACCGAAATAACTAAAATATCTAATTTTCATTAGAGTTGTATTTTAAACATGAAATAGGCATAATTTCAGACTCAAACATGAGAATTTGCTAAGCATGACCACGTTCAGCTATAATTGCATAATACTTATAAAAACAAAGCACTGTATACTAGACCACTGCTACTGAAAGTGGTGGTCCGCGGACCGGTGCCAGTACGCGAACCATCACCTACCTATACGCGGCCAGTGTCCAGGTCATGTTAAGGATTAATTTGAAGAATTGGTAGATGCCAGCTAAACGGTACAGAATTTGTATTTTTGTACCAAACTTGGTACTTTTTGCTTTCAAATAAAGGTTTTTGTACGATCGGTACAACTTTTACTGAGACTTAAAATATTTTTTGCTATATGAAATAAATTAACTTTTATTATATTCATTATATATATCGTGTCCGGTATAAATTAATATTACCACGAAATATTACAGGTATGTGACACATTGAGAAAAAAATGCTGGTCGGCCATATCAGATAGTTTGAGAAGCACTGTACTAGACGATTTCATATGTGGCTTCCATATAAATGTATCAACGTAAAAAAAACCTGACTGATCTGTACACTTATTATTAGCATGAAGATTACAATTATGACAAGGCCAGTCTAGTAAAAAAATTAAGCATATTTTAAACATGAATAACAGATTTCTTTCATTGCATATGTATTTTAAGTATGAAATAAAGGTAAAATTTTAGACTTTACATAGCATAACCACATTCAGCTAAAATTAAACGATTCTTATAACAAAAAAAAAAAAAAGCAAAAAAACTGTATATTTCTACCTTTAAGGTGTGGCTTTCACGTTGGATAGAGGCTCGGATTAAGGAATTGGAGGACCGAGTTCGAATTCCAGTCGAATCCATTACATTCACTTACCTGCTAAATATCCCATTATTTTTTCCCCTTCCCACCAAGCTACGAGTAAATAGCAGGACAGACCGCGTTTTATAGCCTTGGATGGCAACTGGTCTATCGCAGAAAGGAATGGCAACCTATTGCAGGAAAAAATCTACCTTGTCTGTCATGTATCGAGAGATACATGATCACCTAATCTTAATAATTGCATGTATCCTGCATGGCGCGTAACTTGATTAGCGAAGAAAAAAACTGACTGGTTTGTGTTTAAATGTTCTACAGTGTAACCCGGATATAAGAGATCCGGATAAAAGAGAAACCCGGATATAAGTGAGATTTTCTCTGGTCCCAAATTAGAGCCTGTGTTAATGTATATAAAATAGACCAAACCCGGATATAAGAGAAACCCGGATATAAGAGACTTCTTCTCCGGTCCCGACAACTCTCTTATATCCGGGTTACACTGTATTTCTGAAAATCATTCTAACGAACGATGAAAAGTAGATACTTGGCGCATTTACGTTAAAAAATCGGAGAGAACACGAGGATCTGCATGGGGTAATGGTTGACGAGCTAATCTAGTTGATTATTATTACTGTGAAATGAGTTAAATTGTAGCGTAAATGAAAGCGGGGGGGAATAAAGGAAATTAATCATTAACCATACCAAAGCCCTGTTTTCCTCTAAAGAAGTTGATACTGTATACAGTATTGGGATTAGCAAGGAATCCTTTACTAACAGCTTCTTCCTGTAAAGCAAACGATTGATTCGAACAAGTACTGCTCGCAATTATTCCTTTATCGCAACGCTAATCACTAAAGCGGTATTAAATGTAACGCGAACGCTATTTTAAAATGCCAAGAAAAACACTTAAGTATAAATGATATTATTTAAATGTTGCTAAAAAATGAATTGCGCTTACAGCCACATCAATTTGAAACACCAGTTCCCATATGATCAGTGAAGCAACGTCTAGACCGGTCAATACTGAGATGGGTGAGAATACCAGGGGTTGTAAGCTTGGATGTGCGGATGGTATAATGGATAATGTCTCAGAATTTTTAATCGGCAAGCCGAGTTCCAATTCCAGTTAGGTTCGTCATATTCACTTGCGCGCAAATACCCACTGGGAAAGGTATAAATCCACCTCTTCTTCCCCCAGCTATGAGTTAATTAGTAAGACTTGTATCACTAAACCATTATTATCTCAAAAAAATTATTTTTGAAATTCTCACAATCTAAAATATTATATGGCTTTAAATAACCTTCAAAGAGTTAAGACACCGTAGAAAATGAATAGTTCGAAAAATTGTTAAACTATTATATTTATTTCTTGCCATATTTTCCAATCGACTATTTTGCAGTTAGTTATTATTGTTTTTTCATTTATTAAAATCTTAATTTTTAAAGCTCTAACGAACTAATAATATAATTTCCACTATCTGTAGTAAATAATTTCCTCTATCTGTAGTAATTACTTTCCCCTATTTATAGTAATATAATTTCCACTGTTTGTAGTAAATAGTTCCCCCTATCTGCAGTAAATAATTTCCACTATCTGTAATAAATTTTTTCACCCAATTTGCAGAAAATATTTTCTCCTAAATGTAGCAAATAATTTCCCCTATCTGTAGTAAATAATTTCCACTGTTTCTAGCAAATAATTTCCCCTATCTGTAGCAAATAATTTCACCCAAAATGTAGTAAATAATTTCCACTATTTGTAGTAAATAATTTCTTTTCTGTAGTAAATTATTTCACCCAATCTGTGGTAAATAATTTCCCTTAACTGTAGTAAATAATCTCCCCCATTTGTAATAAATAATTTCCCCTATTTGCAGCAAATAAACAATGCTTTAGTTAAACGCGATGAAATATTTTGAATTGACTGACAAACAACGTATCTTGTTTTTCAACTCAATAATTTTGCACTAAATATAAACTAAAGTGTACAAAGTTTTCCATTAATAAATATGGCTGCCGATCGATATGAATTAAAGCCACTATTTTATATGAAAACTTGAGACGCCGGTTCTGCATCTTCCTTATCTATGGCATGGATTTTATTCGTAAGTGCTTCAAAATGTATTAAGCTGAAAGCATTCTTGTCACAGCTGAAAGGATTCTTAGTTGCGGTTTATAAGGCTTTTAGATTACTTTTTTTTTCTGGGTCGGTAAGAAAGTTTTGAATAATCAGTGGAGCAAGTGAAATCCATTTATAAGAATGTACTAAATGATCACTTGATGACAATTCCGTAATGGATAAAGTGATAAAACGAATAAGCAAAAAAAAGAAGAAAAAAGCTGGGTAGCAATAAAGAAGACGTAGGAATACAGACGAAGAAAGATTATATATATATATATATATATATATATATATATATATATATATATATATATATATGTATATGTGTGTGTGTGTGTGTGTGTGTGTGTGTGTGTGTGTATAAACACACAAATATATATATATACACACACAAAGAATGAAATAATTAAAAAATTTCGTCATGTCATCAGTTTGGCTGCAGTTTTTAATAAATATCAATGTCATTTCCCCCCAAAATCTAGGCTATATCTAACATTGTTGATGTAATTAAAAAAGAACAGAAAAGAAAGTATTAAAAGAAATAAGCGAATTTTATTAAAGAAATTGTTAATATAAAAACTGGACAGTTCAGTGTTTATACAAACACACATGCGCGGCGTTTTCAGTAATGCAATTTTGTCACGTTGACCAATTCTTAAACAAGATCTCTGATAGAGTACTGTAGAGGGTACATTGTACCCATGTTCAGGGTTCCAAATGGAGGGAGGGGGACACAGGGGGTCGGTAATTTTCTGGAACATCAGAAAATGTTTACATGTATGGAAGCCTATAATTGGCATTTTGCCTGAGACTTACAATGATAAAACTAGATTAAGTAATAGATTTTAAAAAAATGGCGACTGGTGACGTGATAGGGGCCTGAAAAAAACGTTCTATCTCTTGATAAAATACTTCACAAGTATAATATTTCAATATTTATTGATTACGTAAATCAGAAACCTTTTTCAAAAAGTCATAGGGAGTAAATCAGGCGCTAACCGTAGTGTGATTCTAAATCTATTATTAGCCATTTCCTTATATGGAAACATTTGGCATTCATTGACCGAGCAGCCAGTACGATTGTCGGTTGAAATTTATAAAATCTTTCTCTTAAACCAATTTTTCAGGAAAGTAGCTTTCTCAGTTTAAGTAACTGTTATCGCTCTTTCCAGTATTGATGGGACGTTTCCTTCCTAACCTTTTATTTGCAGTGTTGTGGAACGCTAAAATTTTGTGTATGTCATTATTTTCTCTTTAACTTATGTGCTAATCATTTTAGTTGTTGATGCTGCTGTTGGTAGTCCACAAGTGATGTAGTTTCTGTTATTTGGTAGACTTCTTTGTAATTCTGTAGTGCCAGTCCACAATGTTAAAAAAAGAGATGATCTTTGCCAAGGACTCTCAGGTTTCACTCGCTCGAAACCATTGTTAGCCATTGATCTTAGAAAGCGCTTGTGAACATCTGACAGGTTAGGTATTCCTGAACGGGTTTGGTGCCATGTATGACATGAAATTTTCGATCGGAACAAGCTATGTAAGAACATGACTCGAATTTTTAATTTTTTTTAAGCATTTCAACCTAAGCAAGGCAGGAGTGCCACTAGCACGCAAAGGGTTACAAAGAATGGGAGCAAGAATAAAGACCCGTGGTAGAGAAAAGGATGAAGACAGGGACGGGGAATAGATCAATGCATCTGGAGATGTCGATTGACATTACATTTGAATATTTGAAGATTATAGTTATCAAGGAAGCAAGTAAGAGGAAGGGAGTGCCACAGACGGGAAGTTCGAGACATGAAGCTACTGGATTTGAAGAGATGGCTACATTTAACCATTTCGACACTGAAAAGGTGGGACTGAGATGCCAACCTAGTAGCACGTTTAAATTCATGCAGTTTGGGAGCCAGTGAAAGTAGCTTGTGAAAGTATTTGTAGAAGAGACAGAGGGAAGCGGTGGTACGTCTGTGAGAAAGAGACTGCAAACGAGATGCCAGATAAGAGCCAATCACATTGCATATCCGCCTCTGGATTTTGTAATAAACAAACCAAAATCTCTTATGTCAGGTCATTTCAAGAATAGTACAGGCACAATGTAACCCGCTACTAACTACCGTTTGGTCATGCCATCAGTGAATAAACTGGTTCCCCCACCAAGCTTTTCTAGTGCGTAGGATTTTAGCATGGTTAAAACAAGGTCTGTCCAAGGGAGAGTGAAACTTCTGGCGCGCTCAACGACCTTCTAGCACAATGAGGTAGACTGCGATACATAGCTATAGAAGCAGCTAGTGTGATGATATTGCATCGCAGGTCGGAGAGATTTCTAGAATATAGTCAACGGCCCGAGAGTATGATTACCCACCAGGTTTTCTTTTGGCTAGACTTTCAGCAGTATTAAAAACAAGACCTGTCAAAGGGCCGATGAACCTTCTTGTAGGGACAATGACCAGCTAGCACAATGGGGTAGACTGGGTTTCATAGCTATGTATGTAACCAGACAGATAATAGCAGTCCCCACTGGAAGAAAGGGCTTAATAGACTGGTGTCGACGGTCAGGGCTGAGGATTATTTTCGATGGGGTGTGATGGACACCGCTAGATATACTATAAATGAATACCTCTCTGACTTTCTACCCAGATATGTGGTAGTAATTACTCAAGAGTTGAGCTGATTAGCGACCCTAAGACCACACCCAGTCATGGGACAGATGATGAAGATGATGAATTTTAGAACTTCATATCAACACCTCTATTGTTTAATTAAATCTACATAATTTGAACATAATTTGTACATCATTTATACCTTCAGGGTAAAGTTGTTTTTTTTAGATATAGAGTTTGTTGATCATAAAATATATTGATGGTAATTTGATATTTTTTAGTGTTGCATTGACTATTATTTTGCTATAAAAATCTATTGTTGGTCATTTTATTATAAAAATCTATTGGTGGTAAATTTATTATAAAAATGTATTGTTGGTTATTTTATTATAACAAACTATTGGTGGTCAATTTATTGTAATAATCTATTGTTGGTCATTTTATTATAAAAATCTATCGTTGGTCATTTTATTATAAAAAAATGTATTCTTAGTCATTTTATTTTAAAAATGTACTATTGATTTTTGTCTGGGGATTCACTATTTGCCCATAGGTGGGACCATAACTGGTACTGCCACTCCGGATCAGGGAGAACCTGGGAACAGCAGCAATTAAGAGGTAGTTCTATGTTCCTCAAAAGCTCCAATCTCCTGATTAGAGGACTTGCTACCGGATGTAGTTTATCATCATATCCAGGACGAAATATAGACTAAGACCAACAGTGGGGAATAAAACGATTATAAGAATAAGTGCACTGGCAGACACCTCAGTTGCATAGAGATGGACACTATATTGAAGCCATTGATTATGAAGGAATGGACGCTAAAACATTCCACCACCCCCAGTAAAGACATTAGGTTTAAAAATCCCAAATAGCACTACTGGATTACTGAATGCGTTTTTTTCGGATAAAACCGTTGTTTAAATTATATCTGACAGTCATGAGTTTAGTCACTGGGTTGTGTAGCGCTGAAACATTATAGAATTTCTGCAAAGATGAAAAGTAGTGGCACAAAGGGGGATAAACTAAAAAGAATTCATTAACAGTACATAACCCCTAAAGCGGTGATTTTCAACCTATGTGCTGCGGCCACACCGGTGTACCGTGAGAGAATCGTGGGTATCACGCGAACATTTTACAAAGTCATTAATTAAATTATTTTAGAAAGAATTTCAAAAAACAATAAGTGCGCGAAGCAAGTTTTTTTTTTTTTTTGCAATAAACAATATAACAAACAAAAGTCAATCACGGCTAGAATTCTTGCAAATATGCCTGTTCAAAATTCGACCTTGCAAAGAAGATGTTCTCAGCAAGCTCTGATATTCTATTAAATGTTAAATTATAACAAACAGAAAAATAAATAGATATAATTTTTAAAAATTTTAATTATTTTTTTATTACAAATTATAATAAATTGTTATATTTGTGTTAATAAATAATTCCTAAAATATATACACTTTCTTTTTACTCTTTTTTTAAAATTATAATTTAAGTATGCCGCGAAAGTTTAACTATTGTTTCAAGTGTGTCAGGAGATAAACAAAGATTAAAAAAGATTGTCCAATGGCAAAGAAATCACAATGCAGAGAATCTGGTTCCATAGGTTGAAAGCGTTCGGTTCAAAACTCCTTATAGGTTACTAAATCTGACAGAGGATAGGGTTCCTCATCGAAAGTTGATCTCTTACAATAAAGAGCAATCTGCTCGTTCAACGAATGCCGAATGCTTCCTTATAAGAAAACTGCTAATATTATCATTAGCATATAATGCGCTAAGACATAACCAATTCCAGAGCATTTCAATGTTCAAACTTTTACAAAGTAGTTTTATTCGATGAATTATTCCCTTTAATGAGCATTATTAAATGCAGAGATAGTTCTTTGAGCTAGAAATATAATTGTTAATTCTGACGAGCAATAAAGCCAAAAACAAAACAAAAATAGAATTGATAAATCGTTTTTAATCGATATATCTTTGAAAAATATCTCTCTACAAAAACCACAAAACTATTAAAATGACAATATTAACTTAATAAAATAATATAAGAAGTGAAACTGGTAAATTTCTTTTCTGCAATGTAAAATTATCTTTTATAGTAACAATTACTATTTAAAACTGTTTGGTTTAAGACTATAATTTCTCTTTTATTAATAATTTTCTCACAAGTACAAAAATGAAATATAAATATGTATATATATATGTATGTATTTTGATTTAATAAGAACGTGAATAATGACGAGAGAGAAACGAGAGTTGTTTATGAAAAGGAGAAGTAAATCATTGACTTTAGACAGACGTTTCGGGAAAGTAGGCTAAACTGAAGAGCGAAGAGGTGATGAGAGAATGGGTGGAGGGTGAAATGAGAGAGAAAGAAGAAAGAAAAGTAGTGGGAAATAAAGATGAAAGAATAAAGGGGGAAAAAATAAAAGATGGGTTGAAGGGAAGAAAGAGAATGACGTAAGAGAATTTAATGGAAGGTAATTAAAGGAAAAGAAAAATGTAGATAAAAAGAATGAAAGATAGTAATAGAAAATGAAAAAAAATAAAAGGAGAGAAGCAATGATAACTGAAGAAAAAAATGAAAGATGAATGGAATAATTGAAAAAGAGAAAGCGGAATAAAGAAAGAAAATGATGAAAAGAAAGACATTGAAGAAACAAAAAAGAAAGAACTGAAAAAAGAAGCAAACAAAAAATAAAAACTGAGGAAAAGAGAAAGAGAGTGAAGAAAGAAAAAAATAAGAAAGAAAGAAAGAAAGAAAGAAAGAATAAACTGAGAAAGAAAGACCCGGAAAAAGAAATTTAAGAACTTAAGAAAGAAAGAAAAAACGAAGGAAAAAGAAAGGAATAAATTGAAGAAAGAAACAATAACATTCCTGATTCTTCTTTGGATTTTATCAAGAATCTCAAAATATACAGCAAGAGCACCGGAACATATGAGGCTGAAATATTCTAAACAATAATAAAAATATGGAATTTGCATTGAAATGAAACGGTTCAAAGCATTTGTTTCTTTAGTATCTATGAGGCTAAACCATCTTTTAAAATAAAACAGGTTTTAGCGAATTGTTCCCGTTGTAAAAGAGAATGTCGTGTAGTTATTTGGAAAGATGTCGATGTTATTTGGATTTAACAAGAACGTGAATGAAAATCACTTAAAAGTCAGTTCGCGCAGTGGATTGATTGTCACAAACATCCAATCAGGTGCGCGGAAAACGTGATCTATTTTCGTTCAATTTATTATAAAGGCCAGAATCTCTGCTAGCGTTTGATTTCAGAAGAGGAATCAGGGAGTGATCTCACCTGATTGGGTCGGCTTGGCGATGGGGTGTATGATGTTGAAAGACCCGGAACTCCCTGATGAACCAAAACAATTTACATCACCGACGACTCCATCCAGCGCCTATTTAAGAGCGTATATAAGAGTATATAAGAGCGAAAAATAGAAAGGGTGTAAGACAAGGATGTGTCTTCTCACCGGACTTATTCAACCTATATAGCGAGGTGTTACTGAGAGAACTAGAAGTCCTATCAGGATTTATTATTGACGGCCACAATCTTAACAATATAAGACACAGTGTTGATAGCAGACACAGAAAGTAAGCTACAAAAATTCTTACAGTACGTAATGAATGTTGACCATGTTCACCATAGTCTATGGATATAGAATACAGCGCAGTACGTAATCTGTTCAATGAAACAACGTTAAAGATTAATACTCTCGAGTCAGATATTTTACTGAATCTGACTATATCGCCAATACCACCAGCAGCTGTTCCGTAATTCTTCAGTCTACGATATCAAAGGCTGGCAGTGCATATTCGGGAAAAAACATGGCCGCCTTTATACAGGTCGCATTGAATATTTTGAGCCTTCTGATTGGTTAACCCTTCTATTGGTGAACTATAAAATGAGTCAGCTCATTTTAGCTGGCTCACTAGTACACCAGGGTACCCAAAAATTCCAACAATGAAGGAAAGCAAGAAGTAAGGATTAAACATCAACTGCAAAAAGACAGAGTGCATGGCTGTTGGCAAAAGGATGAGACCAAAATTCGAATTGTAAATCGGAGATACCAAAATCAGCCAAGTGAGGAAATTAAAATGTCTAGGAAGTGTTTTAACGGAGGAAGGATTCGGATACCCAAGGAAGCATTACAAAAAAACTAATCAGAATAGTAAGAAATTAAAAAAAAATATCTGCTAGGAACAAGGAAAAGAGTACTAAAATGTTACGTAATATATATCCCGCTATATGGCAGTGAATGCTAGACAATCTCTTCATAGATGAAGAAGAGTCTTGAAGCAGCAGAAATATGCTTCTGCAGAAGGATGATGAAAATATTATGGACCGAATATGTGAGTAGCAACGAAGCTTTAGAGAAAATGGAAACAAAAAGGAAACTTATCATGATCGCCTCAAGACCGTCAAGGGCGTGATTTTACGGTGTACATATATTTCGCGCCACGTTCATGATGCTCCCTTTTATCATTATTTATTTCTGAAATTTAACATGACTTAATTTATAACGACAAAATGCTTGGAAAGGAGCGCTATAACAAACGAGGTAGAGATCAACCGGGTAACACTAAATAGGAGTAGTGCTAAGCAGGATATTTCTCTGCATAAATTAAACTGCTAAAGCCAGTGACAGATAAATAAATAACGTTGTATATAGAAAAGTTGACATATATTGTTTGTCTTTAGTATAGCCGTTTACGTACGTAAATCTTGGGTCAAGAACTAAATAGAGGTTTGAGTCAGATACAGCGTTATCCAAAAGACCTAAGAAATTTATGACTATAAGTTTCAATTCTCGATTTCATATTTTTCTATGATCAAAGTAGTAATCTGTTGCTGTTCGATTGAATACATGATGCATATAAACATGTGGGTAGTGTAATGACTATCAGCGACTAAAATAAAATCGGCAATCCGGGTTCAAATTCCGGACGAGGTTATTTTGAAATTTTTAATGCTCACTGATAACACAACTGTCATAATATAATAAAAAGCGATCTTTATGAATGAAGTTACTTAAAACTAATCCGTCCCATATCTCTATCTATAAAAGGCAGGATGTGTGTGTGTGTGCGCGCGTGTAACGAATGCACGGCCGCAATTTTCGACGGATTTGCACCAAAATTTACATGCACATACTCCAAGTTAGCGGAAAGGCTAAAACTGACTATGCATTTTCCAACTCCCATCGATAGTGGAAATAGTCGATTTTTTCATGCTTTTACGGCAGTTTTCATGTAGTTTGCGGCCATTTTCTACTGGCAAGAGGGAGAGCCTATAGCTGGCTGCCACGAATAGGCAGCTATCAATTTTTCATTTGCCAGCGTGAGAGCCAACAGCTGGCTGAACGAATTCGTGCACCAAAAATTGATAGCCATTCGTCTGGGAAAAATTTAAATCTGCATGGCACTTTTTACTCGTTGGTGTTTGCTTAAAAACATTGAACTGGGTTGGGTGTGAAAAGTTTTGTTGTTAACATTCTTTTTCATTTCCAGTTATGAGTCCTTTTTAAAGCTGATCGTTTTGTGTTCATTTTGTTTAGTTCTTTTTCGTAACAGATTTAATGTTTAGTATAGAGCTTAGAAAAATTCGCAGTGTGAGATAGGCAAGAAGTAAGGCATGTAGCAACATCAGCACGGCATAGGGCACTTCTTTAAAGGCAAGGAAGGGCAAAAATATTTTAAGTCATGTGATAGCGATTGCTGTATGAGTCGTACGATTTTTGAATCAAGCACGGGCAACGCCGGGCCATGCTGCTAGTCTGTCTATATTTCAGAGATGAGTTATTGAAATTATTTACATTATTTATATTGTTCGGACTGTTGTCTTCATCTCTATTGCCATATTCACTACATTTCGGCCGTTGTACGCTACGGCCTTCTTCGGCTGATTGGAATTTCGAGCTGAACCCTTTATTTAGTTCACCAGAGAGTAGATAGTTCTAGTTCCACTTGCCATGCCTCTTCCGGATGTCTCAGTTATCTCCCTTTAACTCAGCTCTCCAAGATTTTGTTCACCACTGCAGTAGCCAGGAATTGAACTCACAAATCTTTGGGTCAAGTCACTCAATCCAACCAACGCTTTTATCCTCAAGGACACGTGGCCCAGTGGATAAAACGTTGGTTGGATGCCCAGTTGTCTGTCGATCTGGGTAGCCTTCAGGTAATTTCTAACTGAGACACTTTATTTAATTTACAGGGTAGGTTGTTCTCGTTCTGCTCTCAATGTCTAGGGATATCTCGTCGTTTCTTCTATTTTTTAGCACTGTTCTGTTATTATTAATTCAGCTTCTGTACGGCTCAAATGAAGCTGTAAACACAGGTTCTTATGCTCAGTTCTTACTATACCATTTGAGAACAACATAGATCCAATTTTCCTCCTCCTAGATTGAGATGTGAGTTTCCCACGTGTCGGTGTATGAATCAAGACAAACGCAGTTGTAGAGGAAAATACTGGTATATTCATAAAAGCAATTAACAACAGAGTGATTAGTAGAACGAAGGTTGGTTAGTACGAAACAATATCCAAAGTCTATAGTCCAACGGTATGTACCGGGTAAGCTTATCTGGACTGCTAACGCTGACTCTCTCTCTGACGCCGTGTCACTCTCTCTCCAGAGCTGACTTATATAAGAGGGACCAGTCCATTACTAGTTAGAAGGTGGGAGCGCCCAAACATAGATATAGTTAAATAATAGGATAGACTTGCTTCTTTGGCTTTGGGTAAGCAACCAATCTAGAAGAAAAACCTTTGATACAAATCTTAAATATTTTATCCCAAGTAAAGAAATAAAGCCACAACGACACAAGGGTTTACTGTGTGCGAAAGAATAAAAAAGGAAACACTAGCAAGAAACAAGAACGATAAAAAGAATCGGGAAGAGGCATGGCACGTGAAACTAGAATACTCTACTCCCCCGATGAACGAATTAAATGGTTCAGCTCGAAATTCCAATCGCCCGAAGAAGGGCGGAACGTACAATGGCCGAAATTAGATAACGATTGACATTGCCTTGATATTCTTGAAGATCAAAGTTGGCTGTAAAGTTAGAGTTTCATAAACGAGAAGTGCGAGTAAATGTTAGCAAAGAACTTATGGTTACATCTAGCGGCCAATTAAACTGTAAAATGATGAGACCTTGCCGCCAATCTAGTACTGCGCGTAAATTCCTAAAGTCTAGGGTACCATAGAGGAAAGTTCATCAGAACAATTACCACAAAGGTATTTATTAAAAAGGTACATTGTAGCTACATTACTACGGTGGGAAAGTGACCGAAGTCGCGATGCCAAGACAAGGCCAATAATATTGCAGATTTTTCTTTCTATTTTATCAAGGATCTATCTGTCTCTGTCTGTCTGTCTGTCTGTCTGTATGTCTCTCTCTCTCTTTCTATACTATATATATATATATATATATATATATATATATATATAGAGAGAGAGAGAGAGAGACAGAGAGACAGAGAGAGACAGAGAGGGAGAGAGATATGTACTTGCCATATATATATGGCAAGGACACACACACACACGTATATATATATATATATATATATATATATATATATATATATATATATATATTGCCATCCTTTTGTATGGTCGTGGACTCCATACAGGTACCATATACGCCAGCTAGATGTTTTCCATAAAAGCTGTCTGCGTGCAATCTGTGGAGTTAATCATCTAACGTGGACCTGTTTAACAGATGTCAATTGAAATCGAGACATCATACAATCTCAGTTAGGTGGACCT